CAAAATAAAGCTAAATAATAAAATTATTAAATTATTAAATTTATATATTTAAATATAAATAATATAAATAATCAATTTTTAATTACCTGTTTCATCATAATTGAATACATTTTTAAGTTTATATTTATTAATAATATTTTAAAAGTTTTGTTCTTTTTTTATCTAAAGTATCAAGTGAAGCATCATGTACTTTATCCATCTTTGTATATTGTTGAATATGATGTTATTTTTTAAATCCTAAAAGCTAACCATCTGATGCAAAAAATTTTTTTAAATTCAACAGTTATGCAAAAATACATGCTTTTGCTTTTACATTTCCTGTGATTGTTTGATTTGCAAAAAGTGTTTGCATAAACCAATTTGCTAAAGAATTTTTGATTTCAAGATAAGTAAGTGCATGAGTTCTTTTTCTTAAATCATTAAATTCTGTATTAGTTTCAATCCATTTTTGTTTATCTCTTAAAATATCTGAAATAGTATTTTGTTTAACTTCATATATTTTAGCAAGTTGTTTTTATATTAGTTGTAGTTTTTGTTCATATTTTAAACAAATTTTACATTTTTGAGTAAATGATAATATAATATGAGTACGTTTAATAAGAATATCTTCTTTACTATTAGAAGTATTTCTTTTTTGTAAAAAAGCCATTTGATAAAAATATTTAAAATTTTCAACACGTTAAAATATAAATTTGAATTTGAAATATATAAAATACAAAATTGGTAAAATTAAATATTTTGTAATCATGATCATTTATTTTTTTAAAAAATTATCAGAGTTATTTTTAAAAAAATATAATCTTTAAATCTTTTTAAAATAGTCTTTTCTTAAATAAACTATAAAAGTTTAAAAAAGGTTATTAGGTTATCTTTTAAAAAGTTAATCAAATTAACTTTTATAAAAAATAAATTAATTGGATTTTCTTTAAAAAAAATCCATTAGGTTGTGCTTATGCAATAAAAAAAGATTATTTGTTATCTTTTAAAAAGAGGATAATTGAATTGTTTTAAAAAAAATCTATAAAAGTTTAAAAAAATCCATCAGATTGTGTTTATGTAATAAAAAATTGTTAGTTACCTTTTGAACTGGATTGCTTTTGAAAAAAATTAACCTGTTAATTCTTTGGATTTTACCCTCGTTAATCAGAGGTGTATTAAATAAATGGAGAATTGAGAGAATTCCTACGTTAATGCATTGAATACACGAACAAATTAAATTAATAATAAGATCTTGGATTCGATTACTAAAATGAAGTTCCTCGTTTCATTTCCGCAAGGTCTGGTAGACCTGCGCATTGAATATCTTCGCAAGAGTAAACATTAAATATAATACTTTCTCTTTTAATGACAGCGTTCAGCTTCAAAAAATATACTATTATCATGCAGTCAGTTTGAACTCCATTTTTACCAACTGCATAATCTTATCAATCAATAGGAGAGTAATTAGGAGGTTGATATTTTGATATTTTTTAAAAATTTAATTCATTAAAATCTTAAATTAATTGAACCATGAAAATATTCTGTAGGTGTCGAACTCAGAATAGGCGATGGAATGCATGTCAAAAAGTGATATTGACTTCCGAAGTTCTAGTAAAACGTGAAATTGATTAAATAAAATATAAAAGCATGCAAGGCATTTATAAACGTTAAACTATTTTATGATCGATAAAATGAGAGATGATAATATCTGACCAAACCTAAAGAAATAAATCAAAAAGTTTCTGTTCGGTAAGCTTAAATGAAACGCATTACCAGTATTATGACTTACTATTCCTGAATTGTTTTTTACGAAACCTAATTTGTCATTACATCATGTGATATTGGTATCGATATCTAAATTACTTCACTTACTGTAAGTTATGAATTAAAATTCAAAGGCCGTAATGTCACTCGTATAATTTTTCAATACAGTAAGTGAATAATATGAGGGAGAAAGCGTGTAAAATTATAACGACTATTATCTATATTAACCCACCTATGCATTTCAAGGATTATCTTGTCAAGTAGATGAGCGAATTTCCACAATGGACTGATAATATCACTTCATATACATTGAAGAACAATCTAAACATTTAACAATTCTGCTAAAATAAAAGAATCGATATAAAGACATTAGTCAATATATTTCTCTCTCAAATTATATAATATTGTAGACTTGGAAACTCATTAAAATATCATAATTTCGCGTAGATCATTTTGACAGATTGACACGCCCATGCCAGGTTGGCAAGGTGACAAAATGACAGGATGCCAGGCTACCTTAATAATATTTTTTTTATAAATGAGCTGAAAATCCTTAAACAGCTCAACATACTTCTTACAATTGCATAAATACACCTTAAAACCTTTTTTTATCTTTTCGCGACATTTTCGCTTTCGCTGTTTTAACATTTTAATTTTATATTTGTAATTTTGTTTATTTAATTCCCGAATTTCTATTATTTATCACTCAATTTTTTGTAATTGCGCAGTTGAACTTTAGTGATTGGCATTTATTTAGTCTTAATCATCAGGAATCCAATATCTTTGCAAAACATTGAGATTTATATTAACTTTATATTACAAATTATGTCAGTGCTGCTATAGTATAGCGGTATTGTATTCTCAAATACTTGGGTTCCAGTAAACTAATACCAAAAAAAACTAAAATAAACAAAAAGGAAAATTTTTTAATAATACAATTTTCTTTTGGTACAAGTTTATTTATACTAAAACGATTGTATCAGATGAAAAATTGATGATACGTTTGTTTAGAATAGATTTTAGTATTGTTAATATATTTAAAAGCATAAACCTTCTGCTTAACTTTATATTCATAAAGAAATTATTGTAAATAGACCTTACATTTGAAAGTTTAATATGCATCATCGATTCTCAATGACTATACTAGAATGTGTATTTTTGGACTATCTGTTTCAAAACAAGGATATTTCTTTATTGAAGAACAATAATTAGCGAATTAATTTAGTAATAACGATCCAAAAAAGTAGTAACAAATTTTCTTTCACCTTGACTTGGATAGAGTTAATAAGTTGACGCTTCTCCAGGAGATACGAGTATATGGATTTGCATTATTTTGTGAAGTTGCTGCTTGTACCTTCAAGATTTACGTCTAGTAGGATGTGGTCTTCCTCAAACTATTGAGAATGATCTATCGCTTGTTCATCAAAAGTTTTAATTGCTTCATCGCATCTTGGTAATGTATAACAACGATTGATTTAATTTCTCCAAATGTAAAATAATACTTTTTAAGGTCAACTTCTGGAATGTCCTCTTAGGTTCCTGTAATAAAAATTAACGTTTACAAGTACATAAAGGATTCTTAAGTTATCTAATCAAATAATTTTTCAACATGATAATAATAATAAATATATAAATTTGTTGACACCTACCTAAATGGACATTCGTCATCACAATACTCCCGTTTAGCATTAAATGTGGTCTATTAATTTATAATAAGGCTCATTCTATCAAGCTTCTTTATCATTTTTCGACAAGCTGAATCAGCTATTGCCATGATTAGTTAGACCGTCACCACCTTCATTAAGGTCAAATATCAAATTTCTTAAGAATCTCCGATACCTATTGTAAATCCGATGAGCATGTCTGATCAACCCTTTTTTTCTGTATCGTAAGTCAGTTCAATTGTTAAAACCTAAAATAATATTTAATTATTTAGTCATTAATTATAAATATTGTTAAGAAGCCACTTCACATTATTTTCCGAGTCCTTGTCTTATTTGAATATAAATTAGAAAAAAAAAAAAGAGAGACGAGTGAATTTAAAATGCCATTTAACCTTTATTAAGATTACAAGCTTTCATTTGAATCGGGGTGTTATATGGCTTTTCCTTTAAATTAGATTCTTTAAATTAAAGGTTAGAACCGGATTTATTTTTTTTGTTCTGATAGTCGATTACCGTTTCCACTTTCATTTTGATTATATATTTCTGATATTTGAAAAATAATTTAGAACAATAAAATAATAATTGAACTAGGGCTTACAAATTTACCAGTCCAGTGTATTAAAAAGCTCGATCAAATCTAGAGAAAATACGCTCCCGTATAATACAGATTCTCTTGAGAAAAAGTTATCAGCTTCAGCTCTTTTAGCTTAGGTATCGGTACCAAAATTTCTCCGATAGATGTTGAAAAAATGATATTAATTCGGATAAAAATTCTTTCGTTGTACACATTTTTAAGCAAATATCAAAGTAAGTAATCTTTAAAGGTAAAAATGATATCATCAATATTAATCAAAGCTGCAATTTGTACTTGCGAATGAAAAAATGATAACGTCAATGATCACATGATCTTCCTCATGATGCGTCTACATTTGATCTCCAAAATAAGAATTAAATATAAATTTGAAACTTTTTTTTTCTTTACTTTTTCTAAAAAATTTTTTTATTTTATTTTTTTTTTTACAAGCAACTTCGCGTTTATTATAAAGTTCTTCCTCACTATACTTGCCCGGCAAAACTTTCGGGTTTCGACGGGGTCACTTTAGTAAATCTTATTTGGCAAAACGTCGAAACTCGAAACCACAATAAAATCCCAATATTAAAGTTTTAACAATCCGTCTAAATATCGAGTTTCAACTTTTACCATTTGAGTTTGCCAGGCAACTATATTCCTAACCCGTTTTCATTTATTCTTTTATGATATAAACTTTCTATTTTGAAATTTAAAAGAGCCAGACGTCTCTTATTAATATTAAACAAAACTTTATGATATATTATGTCATGGTGGTGTCTCAATTCCAGGTGTGTTTTTAAAATGGTTCACTTATCTTTTCTTTTTGCAGGATTTTTTTTTTTTTTTTTTTTTTTAATCCATACTCTATAATAATTAAAATTTTACAAATTAACCTTTGATCAGCAACGTCCGTTAAATCTGACACACGATATTTTCAATCGCGAGCCTGAGAATTGGAACACCATGACTTTCTAGAAGAATGTAATTTACCATTATTCAAGCAAAAGTTAGTGTCGTACGTTATGTCCTTCGAGGTCATTGCTGAAACTCATAAAGGTCCCAAAGCGTACAAACAGGCGAGTTTATCTTTTTTTTATTTGGTGGCGTTGACGTGAGGACATTGAATCATGCGTCAATCAAGTCTTTGAGACATGCGAAGCTGTGTTGAGGCGTAAGACAATATATCTTGGAGAATTTCTTATGTTTTGACTTTGAATCGATCTGGTGGAATTCAAAATTGTATATCTATTGCTAACCTTCAGTCCACTTTCAGGCTAAGAACAACAATGGTTTCATAACATTGAAAGAAAGAGAAACTGGAAGGAGGTATATACTCACATTTTTTAACTGGAAGTTGTGAATCAGTGGAATTAATTATATTGCATCTTAATTATTTTAGGACGAACATAAAGAGATAAAACAGAATAAAAATAATGACGAATATTTCTCCCTCAGCAATCAAAGTCTGTGAGTAACTTCATCTGAGAATGCATAGTTTGAGTTTAAAGAACTTTCTAATTTTTTTTAAATTTAGCAAAAGACACGTGCAAGCAATATTTTTCCCGATTATAGTTCCCTGGCAAGATTACACTGGAAAAGCTAAAATAAATTTTATTGGAAATATATAATCAAATCCCGTTAAAAGTTTAAATGTATATAAAGTCTTATAAACAAATCCATCGAAATATAGGGTTTCGACTTTTGCCATCTTTTAAAATCCAGGCAACTATACTCTCGCTGGCATAGTCCTATCAAAACCACACCACAACCAGACTTCACCGCCAGAAATTTACGTTGATGAATTCCCAGAATTAGTAGACGTGGAAGAAGAAGAAATCTTCCGTCAGATAATATTGCAAAATGCGTACTACCCACATCAGAGAAGTGGGTATTGTTGTCATCTGGGCAAGTCGTTAAGGATATTTTTAGTAAAAAATATTCGCAACTTGCAAATCTACAAAGGATAGCAATAGATATTTTGTGTCCGAAATTAATACACCTCAGATAATAAGGATCTTGAATTCATGAATGAAGATTGCAAAACCATCCTAAAAGTTCCAGAATATTTTATTGCAGAAGTGTAAATGGTATTTAATGTTTATAGTTATATTTATTTATTAATTTATATTGTATTATTTACACTTTTTCGTTTATGCTTAGACGGTTTGAAATGATCCAAATAAGTTTTGCATGGAAAGACTAAAGGTTGCCGGACAAATTCCCGAGACATCGAAATCGAAACCGTTGAAACCGTTGAAACTGTCAAAACCGTCTAAACCCATCGAAACCAATCGAAATCAAAAGTTTCGACTTTTGTTAAAATGGTATTAGGAAAAACACAGAAACTCAGCGGTCAATACCTGCATATATATAAATAGTAAAATTTATGTAGACTTGTAAGTTATTTTCCTTTCTTTACATTTTACTTTGTCCTGGGTTTGTCTTCTAATTCTTATATAGTCTATTGGAGGTTAAAGACGGTCGGATATGCTGGATTGTGGAGAAGAAACTAGAGGTTGGAACCGGTTGAATATTTTTAGACCGGTTCCAACCTCTAGATAAAACTTACACTCAAGTTGACATTATCGTGAAGGCAACTTCATATATTGTTGAATCCCTAATCAAAGGCCTCAATATATATTATATATATGGTAAATAATATCATCCATTATCTCACTATTATTTTTATGTCAGAATATTAATTTCATGAATTACATTTAGGGAGTGAATCATTTTGCTCTTTGAGCAGATCAGCAAATTTTGAAAAATGGCGAAAGTGCGATGTTTTTGGGTTACTCAAGTGTTGATCTTGGAAAATGGAAGTTAGCCGTGCATGCTAGTGCTACAAATCAATTGGAGTTCGCTGTCGATTCGCAAAAGTTAATTAATCCATACTAAATGGAATGTTAAGTTTGAACTAAACAGATGACCAAGCGGAAATTGCAAAAGTGCCATTTCTACAAATTGCTGGACTATATGAACAAATGTTACTCGAAGTATTTTTATTTGATTTTCCCGAGGAATCATTTGAACTGCCGACAAAATTCACTAGAAAAGGCAAACTAGAGGTTGGAATCTCCCAAAAATCTTTAACCGGTTTATAGCCAGTTAAAATATTTGTTAACCGGTTAAAAATTAAACGGTTCCAATCTCTAAGGCCGTGAAAATCTTTAAATATGAATTGGTAAGTTACTGTTTATTATATTGGCCATTGTATTTTATTTTAGCATATAAGAGACTGATTGATAGTATTTACGCACAGGAAACATATGACGAAACTAGTAACATGCTGGATGAACCGGAACAAGCTTGATTATATCTTTAAGAGAACTATAAAAACTGATCAAGTCAAGCAGTCACATTACAAATCCAATTTTATCAGCAAACCATGGTGGTGAAGACGTGATCCGTGACTGCGCTAAAAATAAGTCATGTGATCCAAATGATCGACATAGTTGACGAAGTTGACAAAGTTGCTAAAGTTGTCAACGTTGATCAAGTGGACATATTAGATAAATGAATTATATTTATTATATTTATTAATTATATCTTATTTATTATATATATTATATTTATCATAGTTATATTATTTATTCTCTTTATTATATTTGTTATAGTTGATTTTATATTATTTTATTTTATATAAATATCTTGTATTTTCTCTTGAGTTGAAAGTAACTCAAGTTGAGATTTTAGGATAAACCAAGAGTTCAATAAAGGAATCGTTAAATTCATTTACTATTGCCTTTTGTCATGTCTTCATATAGGCGTGATTGTGATATTGTCTTGTATTTAATTCGACGGATTGAATTAAAATTTTATCGTTTAAGTTTACAGATACTAAGCCAACAGTGGAAGCAAAGAAAAAAATTACGTCGCAGCTATCAATCGCACTTAAAGAATATGGATGAAAAGAACTAAAAGTGAAATGTATTTTGGTATACTTTATCGACGGAGAAGAATTAAGGTTGCAATTATGAATTTTTCCGAATATGAAAGGGAACGTGAGACAAAATAGAATAAAAGCACGTCGAAAATTTTATAATAAAACATGTAAAGAATAGAAACTTTCAAGCTTAGTGTTTACTTAACAATTATTTCTAAATTTTAATAAAAAGTGTTTAACTTGTGGAAAATTTAAAATACATAAACTATATAATGTAATGTAAAAAAAATGGAAATTTTTGAGCTGCGTATATAATTTAATTTAGTAATTGTTTATAAATTTACAAAAAGCTAATTGGTCATATTTTTAAAAAGATGTATAACTTTGTGGAACTATAGATCCAGAAAAATTTTCATATATGTTTTACTATGCAATTTAAATCGGACGCGAATGTACATAACCTTTTGTACTTATGCTATTATTATAAAAAAAAATTCTGATTTTATTTGGTTTGATTAGATTGATTAAATTAATAAATTTTTTGTTACATTTTTATTCTTTTTAAAAAAGTAAATTTTAATTTTTTTAAAAATTTTTTCATTACAAAGATTAATTAATGATTACACAAAGTTTCTTTTTAGGTAATTTATTTTTATAAACTTTCTTTTTTTTAATACTTTTTTAATTATAAGATAATTAATATAAAATATTATTAACATAAGCACAATAATGATATTATATTATCATACAATTTTATGATATTAACTTAAAATTGTAAAGAGAAGTTATTATTATTCTTTTTCTCATTATTTATATAAAATTCTTTTAAAGAAATGGACAAATTTTTATTATTAGACAAATTATAATTTTAAAAATCTACTAAAAGTAAATATTATTAAATTTATTAAATATATATAAATTACTTTACTCAATAAAAAATTAATTATATAGTAAAAAATTATATTTTAAGATATAGCAACTTTTTAATAGTAATATATCTATAAAAAAAAACAAATCAAATCTAACTCAATATAGAATCAATTTTGCAAGAATCACTATAACTTTCATAAAGAAAACAAGACTATGAGTATAAAGATCTAATTTAAAATATATATAATGATTGTGAAAATAAATAACTTATGGATTTTTTATAAGAAATTATTTACAATTTTTCATTTAGATAATTATTTTATTAATATTATTTATTAATTTAATTAATATATTTATGGATAATTAAGAAATAAAAATATTTTGAAATAAATAATTAAATTTATTGAAAAATATAAATTATAGTATTTATTGTATTTTAACTTTCAAAATTTTTTTTTAGAATGTTTGTAAAATATATTAGTAAAATAATTGTAATAGTAAAATAATCATTGATGAAACATTTGTTAATGAAATGAACATATTGTTAAAATAATTATAAGTGAAATTAATTTTTGGCAAAACATTAGTCAATGAAATAAATACATCACTTAATATTTAAATTCTATTTGAAGTTTAATTCACTATTTTAATTTCAGTTGATTTTATATCTATAATTCAGATTCTTTCTGAAATTTAATTTAATTTCAGATAACTTTATTCAGATTCTTTATAAAGTTTAATTTTAAATATCTTAATTTCAAATAGCCTTATATTGAAATTTAAATTTATCTGAAATTCAATTTCAGAAGTTCTAATTTCAAATTGGTCTTTTATTTGAAATTCAGACTCTATCTGAAGTTCAATTTCAAATATCTCAATTCAGACAATTTAACTGAAGCTAACATAATATCAGAGCCTGTAGTTAATTTTACTAATAATACCAGAAGATCTAATGAAGGATGTTAAGGATGCATTAATTCAATAAACTGAAAGACGTGTATTATAAGCAAAATATGCTAAGAAAATTACAGTAGATTTCTCAAAAGACACTGTCTTTCTACTTTGTAAACATATCATACATTATGATTTTATTGATAATCTATACAAAAAGTATCCTATCTGCCTGAAAATTCAGAATTGTTCTAGTAGAAGAAGCATCAAATACTACCTAGAAATGCTCTAGTGATTTATTTGAATCTACAAACAATCTTCATTTAAAAAGCAAAAGACCTTAACTACAGTCCAGGATTTTACTAAAAATGGAAATAAAATCTAAAATGATCTGCAGTCATGTTTTAAAAATTTAATTGGTTATAATTGGCTATTAGTGATAGAAGTTTCAGATAATTGTGCTGATCCAAAGCTACAAAGACAAAAATTACTTTGTATAATAAATATATTCTTTCGAGTATATGCTTCAATAATTTACTTTCATCTCTAAAGTTTCACTTAATAGTATAAAGTATAATATTGAATTAAAATTTGAACTTTATAATGGAAAATAAACCACCTGCTAAAATATTACCATGCTTATTTGAAGGGTTTTTTGCTAAATATTCAGAAAGTCAATTACTATCATGTAAATTTGAAAAGAAACAAAAGTGAAGGCATATATCAGCAAAGGCAGTAGTGAACTGAATTGATATTTTTGCTAAGTATTTTCTCGAGTTATCTTCATTATATAATTCTTTAGTAAGTTATTCAATTTGTGAAAGATATTACAATCAAATTGTTGCTACTGATACTTTTCTTAACCGGTTAATAGTAGTAAATAATTTTGAAAAATATAGTCAACGAAAAGACTAAAGACAAATAAAGATGAAAATATTATGTTACAACAAGATTATGATTATAAAAGTTTTATATTAGAGATATTAAACATAAAGAAGGCCATAATTAATTCTAAATCTCAACGAATAAAATATGTTAAACTAATAAATGAATACGATCAGAGGATCGTTTAATTAGAATTAGAAAATAAAGAATTAAAAAGGAGGTGGAATAGTAGATTTGATAATCAATAAATGAGAATTGATTCTATTATTAAAATCGTGAAGAAAGAACTTAAATGATTTTACAATGATATTATTAATTTGATAAGTGATCAGAAACGATTTAATTTAGATGGTCTTTTAAGATATTCTCCTTTTGATTGGCTTTCTAAATGAAATTCAATTATCATAAATTTTGTAAAAATGTTAATATGCAATGAGAATGAAGATCAGCTCAAAGGTGAAAAGCTTTTTAAATGTACAGTTACGGTTAATGCTATCTATAGGACGAGATATTTAAAATATGTCTCAACTAAAAATGGTTCCCATAATTATTTTCAAATTTCAATTGAGTTGCAACTTAATTGCACTATAAGAAAATTTAATTGCGTCACAAGTTGCAACTCAATTGCGCCATTTTTTTTTAATTGCAGTGATCATCTTTAGTCTCAGCTATTAATATTACTGCCTCTGCAATTAAATATTCAATAGCAAGATCTAAAACTATTATTGATATTGACAATCACATTATTAGGTCTGATAGCTATACAAAATTTACTAGTTGGTTGAAAAGTCTAGCTGCTGAACAATTATCGCTTCCTAAAGATTTCTTACTTCTAGCTTTCAATAATAAATAAAAGGTTAAAAAAACTATCTAAATTGTAGATATAATATGGTTATATTTCATACAGTTACAAGTTTCATTACCTTTCATCATAATCAATATAATAACATTCAAACTAACACTGACTTTTGGTTATATTCTGAGCTTACCTAACAGTAATATGAAGATTTTTTTTTAACTCTAAATATGAAAAATGAAATTTATAAAGAACTTGTCATTTATCTTACAACAATATTAAATGAACTTCTTATAAAAAAAAATCAGGAAACAAATGTGATTGATAATTTAATACATCAATAAAGTCAGCTAGGACATATGAAAAAATGCTTTGCTTATCTGACTTCTAACATTGATAATAAAAAATGAGTTTGCCTTTCATATAATGCTAAACTATTATCAATAGCTGAAATAAGCTAGCAACATAATGAGTCATTTAAGATTATAGATGCCATTAAAAAACCATTCGTCATCCATCCTCATACTTTTAAAAAACTGAGTGATCAAGATTTTGCTCTTAATGTCATAT